ACAGAACTAGCTGTCCTGGAACTAGCTCTTGTAGACCAGGCTGACCTCAAACTCACAGGGATTCGCCTGCCCTTGCCTCCTGAGTGCTGGGATTAAAGGCATGCGCCACCACCGCCCAGCTATCCCAACTTCTATGGACTTTGTGTTTCATATAAAGAGCTATGAGTTCTCAGGGGAAAGAAAAAAAAAACCAAAATTCCTGTGAATTATGGCAGGCTCTGATGACTTGACAAGATTGTGAAAATTGAGAAATGACTGAAGCATTTTAGGAGCAATACAACATGATTCAGACAGAAAATTGTTTGGTTGGAGGCTGGAGAGATGGCTCAGTCTGCTCTTCCAAAAGTTTGAGTTCAATTCCCACCAACCACATGGTGGCTCACAGCCACCTGTAATGAGATCTGTAAAGAGATCTGGTGCCCTCTTCTGGTCTTCAGGCATGCACACAGGCAGAACACTGTATACATAATAAATAAATCTTAAAAAAATTGTTTGGTATCTAGCAATTTGGTAAAAATTAAAAGATGGGCCAGAAGCGCCTCAGTGATGGAGCTGTTTTTCTTCTTACAGCTGTCTCTGAAGGGCACAAGTCAGAGCACGCCATGCCTAACAAAGATACCAGCAGTCTTAACAGCTTGGCAGCAGGGCTCATCTGCCTCCCTCCAATCTCTGAGGAGCTACAGCTTGTGTGGACTCAAGCAGCGCAAACCAGTGAGCTGGATGGAAATGAACACCTGCTACAAACCTTCAGCTACTTTCCCTATCCAAGCCTGGCAGATATTGCTCTCCTCTGCCTGCGATACGGGCTGCAGATGGAGAAGGTAAAGACCTGGTTCATGGCCCAACGCCTCCGCTGTGGCATCAGCTGGTCATCTGAAGAGATAGAAGAGACTCGCGCCCGAGTGGTGTACCACAGAGATCAGCTCCATTTCAAATCTCTTCTTGCTTTCACGCATCATGCAGTGCAGCCCCCACAGGAGACGCCTCCAGTGCCCTCTCCAGAGCAAGCTGCTCTTGGACTCTGTCCTTTGGCTCGTAGTGAGCCCACCCAGATGAAAGGATTGAAGGTTGAGCCTGAGGAACCCTCTCAGGTACCACAGCTGCCACAGAGTCACCAGAAAGTGAAGGAACCTCTGGGGACAGGCAGCAGAGCATTCCAGTCAGGTTTTTGTCAGGATCTTCAGATCAGTGGACTCTCTGAGGAGCATGCAGAAATGGGTTCCGATCAGTCGTGTGGTGGAGGGACTGCTTCCTGGAATCATTCCACCGCTGTCCATCAGCCACGTGCTGGGGATAAACCCCCGTCGGTCTCATTACTTGTCAGTAGTTGTAAGGAAGAGTCCGCACCTAATGGGACACCTCCATCTCCCTCTTTCCAAGTATCGGCTAATGGAACTACTGCCACTCCTAAACCCCTCCAGCCTTTGGGCTATATCCCACAGTCATTCCCGCCTAGTGAACAGGCACCATCTCCACAAGGAGAATCACCCTGGCCCCAAAGGCTACGAAATAACTCAGTAGCAAGTAGGGTTGGCCCCACAGAATACCTTTCGCCAGATATGCAACACCAGCGAAAGACTAAGCGTAAAACCAAAGAACAGCTGGCCATCCTCAAATCCTTTTTTCTACAGTGCCAATGGGCACGACGAGAAGATTACCATAAATTAGAACAGATCACTGGTTTACCTCGCCCTGAGATCATTCAATGGTTTGGAGACACCCGATATGCCTTGAAGCATGGACAACTGAAATGGTTTCGGGACAATGCAGTACTTGGTACCTCTACTTTTCAAGATCCAGCCATTCCCACACCATCAACTCATTCCTTGAAAGAATGGGCCAAGACACCACCTCTGCCAGCCCCACCGCCCCTACCAGACATACAACCTTTAACACCACCTCTGCCAGCCCCACCGCCCCCACCAGACATACGACCTTTAGAGAGGTACTGGGCAGCCCACCAGCAGCTGCAGGAAGCTGATATCCTTAAACTGAGTCAGGTATCAAGACTTAGCACTCAGCAAGTGCTGGATTGGTTTGGCTCTCGATCGTCTGAGCCAGCAGAGGTGGTAGTTTGTCTAGATGAAGAGGAGGAGGAAGAGGATGAAGAACTGCCAGAAGATGGTGAGGAAGAGGAGGAGGAAGATGACGATGATGATGCTATATAGGACTGCGGGAGGTTGAGGAAGAAAAGGGTCTGTTACTGAAAAATGAACCACCTTATTGACCATTTAAACCCTTTTTAAACACTCTGTCACAAAGAACTAAAAGCTCTGTGTTCTTCAGAGTGGGCAAGGCAGGATAGTAGTTTGACAGTAGACTGGGGAGGTGACCAGGAAAGAAACTAAGGTATTGGATTAATATAAACCCAGTTCTCTAGTCTCAGTGTGGAGAGGACCAGGGATCTGGGCAAACAATGACTGGAAAAGGCTCTTGCTCTCTTGTTCTTTTTCTTTAGTACGCTCTTCATGTCTCAACCCCACACATCTACATGGACTTAGTATGGAATGAAGTATTGTGATCCAACTTAGGATCCCAGCACACCCCAAATCCCACCATCTGTCAGAAAATACAGGCTGCTTGTGCCCGTTCCTGTCTTTCTGAGCATATACCCATGCATATTGCAGCTAGGATTTGCAATGTCCATTTTGTTATAGATATTTCCTCATACCAGTTTGATGTTTTTACTCATCTTGTCACTTACACAGAAGCAGATACTTCTTCCTTCTAATACTGGAACCAATCTGCCTTCTACCATTTATTTCTATGAAATCCCCTCTTTGCTCATTATTGTCTCAGGGTAAATCTGAAAAATTTTTAAGAATCAGATTGTGAATATTAGTCTATATATTTATTGGAGGTGGGAATTAGGGGATTTGACCTTTAAAGTATGATGAGCCAGGCATGGTTCCTGTGGTTACAACACTTGGAAGGTGGAGGCAGGAAGATCAAGGAGTTCAAGGTCAGCCTGGACTACGTAAGAGCCTGTCTTGAAACAATGTCACTGTGTGACAGAGAAGGATGGTAGGGATGTTACAGTTTGGATTTACAAACGACATCACTTTCTGTCCAGATTGATAGAGATTGTTGGTTTTTTTGTTTTTTGTTTTTTCTTTTTTTTGCTACTGGTTCAATCTATATCTAACAAGAAATGTTTCCCTCTTTATAGGATCTGTCTTGGGGACAGAAGGACCATGGTCTTCTAACTCAATGATGTTCTAGAATAAATGTCAACACTAGGGATCACTGGTAACAGTGGGTTAGTCACCTGAAAATAGAGTGAAAGCCCCAAATTGCTAAAATAAAAAAAGGCCAAAAATAAAATTTTTTCTCTTCTCTACTTTGCTGCTCCTATGGTTTAAAGATCTCTGTATCATGTGTGTGTGTGTTTCTGGTTTTTCGAGACAGATTTCCTCTGTGTATCTTTGGCTGTTTGGGAATTCGACTCTGCTGACCAGGCTGGTTTTGACCTCAGATTCGCCCGCCTCTGCCACTTTTGAGAGCTGGAATTAAAGGTGTATGCCATGTCTTTTTTTTTTTTTTTTTTAAATAGATTTGCCTTGAACTCACGGTGAAGCTATGGCTGTTGTTGAACTTCTGATCCTCCTGCTTCTACCTCCCAAGAGCTGAATATAAGTATGTGCCTTCATACCCAGCTTATGCACTACTGGGGATCAAATCCAGGTCTTTGTGTATGGTAGGCAGACACTCTGCCAACAGGCTACATCTATACCCAATCAGAGTTGAGGGATTTAATGTAGTCAAGTCCATTAACATCTGATTTAAGGGCTGGGTGTGTGGTTCAGTGACAGATCTCTTGCCTACCATGTATGACACATAATTTCAAGCCCAGCACACTTTAAAATGGTTTCTGATTTAGTTAATTTTTATTATTTAAAGATTCAGAACACATTTCAGTAAATTAAATAAAAATAAAAAACCAGAAGACAGTAAGCATCTGTCAGCACACACATGGTCCCCAGCATCAGACTGGTGGGATTTATTGATGCTTCAGTTGGGACAGAAGGCTGTAACTCCACTTGCTCATTCCACCGTTCTAGAACCTGCAATAGCAAGAGTTGCAGTAGCCATAAAAGTATCCTCTTTTATGATTCTTTTCTTCTTTATTAATCTACATATTTTAGTAAGCTGGAAACCTATTCTACCTATTGTTCTGACAAAGGAAAATCAAGACATTTCATAGCAACTGGATGTAGAAGAAACAATAGGTAAAATAAATATAAATTAGGACAAGGAATAGTTGATATTGATTAACATTGGCAACAGGAAAGTGAGATTTAGAAATGAACCAGGATAAGTATATTATCTAGCCTCTCTATCCACAAGCGTGAGGCCAAGAATTTCTGCTACTTTAGTTTCAAACGAGGAAATGAAAGGCAGTACATATGGGGAAGAGATAATTATCCTCCGGAAGCCTAGTATAAGACCTAAAAGCTTTCCTGTGCATTGATATAAGTAAGACAGTCACTGAGATGGCTTAGAGGGTAAAGGCACTTGCTGCCAAGCCCAGTGACCTAGCTGGGTCCCCAGGACAGATGTGGAAAGAACTGACACAGTTGTCCTCTGACCCGAACAGGTACATACACAAAATTAATAAAAAATTCAAGGGCCTGGAGAGATGGCTCAGCAGTTTAGCATGCTTTGTGCTTGTCAGAAGGCCCAAGCTAGGTTCCCCAGTGTCCATTCAGAGATCTCATAAACTCTGGCTTTAGGGATGTCACACTCTTTTGGCCTCCAAGGGCACATGTACTACAAGCACCCATATACTAGTGATATACCCCCCTCCACACACACACACTATTTACATTTTAAAAAAATGTTTTGGAGATAAAAATATAAAGTGCAAGAGAACAAGCTGCAGAATGAAACCAAGAAACAACAGTATACATTTTCAAGCCCTATATCCCCTAGTGGGTATGGACACTGAAGTCCATCCTTGAGTAGTATGCATACATAGATCAAACCTGGAAAAGGGATGTCTATCTGGAAATGCTCCATCCTTCTCTCCTGGCTAATCCCATCTGCCTCTGTGGGTAGAATGTCTGCAGCAGAGAACAGATTTCCATGTCATGACGAAACAGACAAATTAGCGGTGTTTCCAACCATTAAAGTTGAGTAGAACAAAACTAACTGCCATTGCTTCCCCATGGCATCTCCTCATTGTATGATTGACTAACTTCCAAAATTTTGTTTTAGAGACAGAGTCTCACTATTCCTGTTTTCCTAGGGCTTGTCTATGTAGACCAGGCTGCCCTCGAACTCCCAGAGTTCTGCTTGCCTGTTTCCCAAGTGCAGATATTAAAGGTGTGTGCCACCATGCCCAGCCCAAACTAAGATTTGATACATCCTACATGATAAGGGTTTTATTGCTACTTAAGAAACTCTAGAATATTCCAGTGCTTTGTGATGATAATGTCAAATGTAGTAGAAACATCTAATTGGGTGGCCTGCTTACAGTTCAGAGGCTTAGTCCACTATCAACATGGTGGGGAGCATGGTGGCATGCACACGAAAGTGCTGGCTACATTTTGGCTTGCAGGGAACAGGAAGTCAATTGACTGCCACGTTGAAGGAAGACTGAGCAAAAGACATCTCAAAGCCCACCCACACAGTGACACAGTTTCTTCAACAAGCCTCACCTCCTAATAGCTACTCCCGTTGGGAGTCATTTCCTTTCAGACAACCACATTCCACTCCTTGGCCCCCAAAGGCTTATAGCCATATCATAATGCAAAAAAAAAAAATGCATTCAGTCCAACTTCAAAAGTTCCATAGCCTCTAACAGTCTCAAATTTGTTTCAAAGTCCAAAGTTTCTTCAGAGATTCATGCAATCTCTTAATTGTAATACCCTTATAAATATCATAATAAAAAAATCGCATACTTCCAAAATGCAGAATACGGAGCATAGTGAGAAAATACTGGACCAAACCAGCTGTGTAAACTCTGGACTGCAGCTCCATGTCTGATGTCCAACTCCTTTCAGCTGTGTTGACTGTAGCACACTTTTTTTCTTGGGTTTATTTCATTCCCTGTTAGTAACTCTCCTTGGCAGGTATCCCAATACTCCAGCATCTCTAACAACTTGGGTTCTCCAAGGCAATCCAGGCTTCAATTTCCTAGCTTCACTCAATGGCCTCTCTATTAGGCTTCCATTCAGGGACACCCAACACATGCCAGGCCTCGGCGGCTTTACTTGATAACTCCTTTCTTCTATCTTAACACTCTGCTACTTACTGAGGCTGGAACATGGCCCACTTGTTCTATTACATCTTCACCACCTTTTTGTCTTCACTGCCTAAGCTTGACTGTCCTGAAACTTGCTCTGTAGACCAGGCTGGCCTCAGATCTGCCAGCCTCTGCCTTCACAGTGCTAGGATTAAAGGTGTGCCCCACCATACCCAGCTCTTAACCTTTTTAGTTTCTTTCCAGAAGTTGTAAACTTAGTTGGGTGGGATCTTGCCTGAGGTCACCACTCCTTTTATTCCATTTCTTAATCCATTTATCTTCTTGAACATAGGATTTAGCTCCATTCCACTTCCTGATGCTCTTTTTCTCCTCAAAATTTACCCTGCTCAGCTTGCTCCTTTTCATTATAATTCTTCATTAGAATTATCACTAACATCCACACAACAGAGTATATACTAGGCCATTTTGAGATCTCTTCCAATGGAGTTAATCCACAACTCTTCACTTTAGCCTCAGGCAGACTCTTCAGACAAGGGCACCTGGCAGCCACTTTCTTCACTTAAATATCACAGGAATGATCTCTAAGCAACATGTTGTAATGGATTAATTAAAAATGCTGTGGGAATCCCTGGTGGCTGCAGTGGCAGAAACACTGCAGGTCCCTGAGCTGTGGCAGTGGACCATGTGGCAGCAGACAGCGAACAGTGGGTCTCGAGAGCAGCCAGGCCCAGGCAGAGACAGTTCCCTGAGTGGCTGCAGCAGGCCACGAGAAGAGACAGACAGATGGGCATGCCATGTAGAGTGAGACTGGATATTTATTTAGTGGGTTAGAGAGGGGAAAGGGAGAAGGGGAGAAGAACAGAGAGGCAGAGAGAGAGAGAGAGAGAGAGAGAGAGAGAGAGAGAGAGAGAGAGAGAGAGAGAGAGAGAGAGAAGGAGAAAGGGGAAAGAGGAGAAGTGGGAAGAGGCAGAAGTTGCCTCTTCAAGAGGGAGACAGAAAAAAAGAGACTCAGGCTGCAAGCAGGAAGGAAGATCTGCCTGCCTCAGAGGAAGAGGTGGGGGGAGTGGGGAGTGGGCGTGGCTTATCTCTTAAAGGAACAGAACAGATCATTACACATACTAAAATTTTTTTCATCTGAAACCTCTTGAGTGAGCCCCAGAGGTTCAAATAACTATTACTAGCTTGTCTTCCATGCTTGTACTAGTATAGCCCATTAAGCAGTGTTTAAAGCATTCCATTGCTTTCATAACCCAAATTTCCAGTCTAAATTCCTCCAAATAAACACATGGTCAGGCCTATCACAGCAATATCCAAGTCCCACTTGTTTTAGTTAGAGGTTTTATTGCTGTGAAGAGACACCATAACCACTGCAACTCTTATAAGGAAAGCATTTAATTGGGATGGCTTGCTTAGAGTTCAGACCATCATCATGGTGGGGAGCATGGTAGCATGCATGCAGATGTGCTGGCTACATTTTGGCTTGCAGGGAATAGGAAGTCAAGTGTCACACTGAGGGGAGCTTGAATAAAAAACAAAAACAAAAAAACCTTAAAGCCCACCCCACAGTGACATACTTCTCCAACAAGGCCACACCTAATAGTTTCACTCCCTTTGGGGGTCATTTTCTTTCAGACTACCACACTTCCTATTCATACTTTTTTTTTGCATTTACATATATATATGTCTGTGTATTTGCTTGTATGTATGCAAACAGAATCATCAGACCTAAAATACTCCTTTTGAGTTACCTGTCAGTAAGGTAGAACATTAAAACTGAGACCATCCTGAGAAACACCTAATATCACTCGCCATTGGTTATATTATACCGTCACCCTCAGCCTTTAGTGTGGAGGTCTAACTTCAAGAGTTCTATGCACATACGAGTTTGGCTAGCCAGACATCACCTGTAAGGCCGGAAGATGGAAACCAGGAAGATTCTCTGGTGTGGCTCTGCTCTCCCTCTGACCTAAAGGACAGGACAGAATTGTGACAGACAATTTACTTGTGCAGTTTCTTAGTCATGTTACTTGTAGGCCACAATATCTAGTGAGTGCTTAAAGAATAATACTTGGAAAGGGAGACTATTAAGTAGCTTGGCACAGTGGTGTATGCCTGTAATCCCAATATCTGTAAGGTCGAGGAAGAAGAATGACAATTTTGAGACTAACCTGGCCATAGAAAGTTTAAGGCCAGCCTGGACGATATGGGAAGACGTGTATGTGTGTGTGTTTAAAGTACATACCTGCAATCCTGTGATCCCAGCCCTTTGGAGACTGGCCTCACTTACAATGGGAATTCCAGGCCAGCCAGGGTTAATGAAAGAAACCCTGTCTGAAAACAATCAGCTAAGCACTTTGAGAAATGATTTTCTTTCTCATGCCAACAAGGCTATATACACCGGCATGCGGACAGAACAGTCTGAGGCTGAAGTTTAACTAGAGTGGAAGGAGGCAGTCTAAAAATATGGGTGAGCGTCTGAAAAGACAGCAGGGCTGGTAACAGCAGTACTTTAAAAACAGACACTGCATTTAAACCTTTGGAACTGAACTGCCAGCATGTTCAATTAAAAATCCAGTGGATGTTGGAGGACAAACTTTGAGGGGTTAGTTTTCTTGCCTTCCATCATACTATTTACATACCTGTGGGTTCTAGAGATCAAACTCAAGTCACCAGACTTGGCAGAAAGCCTTTACCGGATGAGCCCTCTTACCACACCCCAACATGGGATGTAGAAAAAAACCAAAACTAGTGGTATATGCCTGTTATTAAAAAACTTGGGAGGTAGATGCACGGCAATCACCAAGTTTTCAGTAAACCTGAACCTCACTGATGGTTTAAGGCTACCTGACCTGCACAACAAGATCTTGTCCTAGGAAACCTAATTTGTGATTAGGACACATAGTAAGGCCCTGGTCCTGAATTTCATCCATAGTTTGAGGGGGGTCATGGAGGAAGGAGCCAGCCTAATCCTACAGGCCAACCTGTACATAATAGGATTCGACTGAATTTTATACTAGTCAGACAAAATTCAGACCTTCCTCTCACTTGTAAAGGAAACTTGAAAATATTAACTCACCAGAATTGCTGGGAGTGAGGACTCTTGTGTGGCCTGAGTCCCCACTGAGGAATGGTCTATAAGAAACTCCCTGTCCAGAGGAGGCAGGTGAAGGTCTAAGAAATGGAAATAATAGCATCAATAAAACTAGAATTATACCATCCCAACTATAATCCCAGAGGTGGGAATCCACAGAGGCAGAAGGACTGAAGCAAGTTCAAGTCCAGGCTGGTCTACATAGTGAGTGGAGAGCCAGGGTTATAGACCAAGACACTGTCTCAAAAACTAATCAACCACAACCACCAACAACAAAGGTAAACTCAATAGAGGAAAGATCAAGGTAGACGTGTATGTGAAGAGTGAGTCTTTAAGCTGGGTGGTGGTAGCGCACATCTTTAATCCCAGCACTTGGGAGGCAGAGGCAGGCAGATCTCTGTGAGTTTGAGGCCAGCCTGGTCTACAAAAGCTAGTTGCAGGACAGGGTCCAAAAGCTACAGAGAAACCCTGTCTCAAAAAACAAAACAAAACAAAAGTCTTTAGATCAGAGAGAAAATACCCTGCCTACAATGGAGAAGATATAACTTGAATGCCTATTATACATAGTATTCTCCATCTTCTCATAAACTGTATAAACTGTGGATTATGAATGCCACTAGGATAGGCCATCAGACAAGGAACTCTAGGCATGCTGGCAGAATCACTGTGAACACATCTCCAGAAAAGGAAACAAGACACTAAGCATGGTTGTGCTCACCTGTGAGCCCAGAACTTGGGAGGCAGAGGCAGGAAGACTAGGAATTCAAGTTACAGAGTGAGTTTGAGGTCAGCCTGAGCTACATGAGACCCTGCCTCAAAAACTAATGCACACAAAAAGTAAGTTGTAATGTTACTTACCTGTAGGAGAGGCTATGAGTTGAACCTGGGGAAGGGGTTTCTGGAAGGCATAAATATGACAGTGAGATAATTCAGACGGGATTCAAGGGCCAGTGCAAAAGAAATGGGGTCAAAGTGTTTTTTGTTGTTGTTGTATATATTTTAAGGTTAGGGCAAATGGTAAATTAAAAGGCTCATAAGTCACTTAGCAGCACCTCACAAAGGTACTCTTTTCCCTTTCTGGATATGGAGAACAGGACCCATCGCTGCCTTGAGGTGCTTTAATGTGCCTGTAATTTCTTTGGCTTTCCCTTTAAGATGGTACTGAAAGTATAGCTAAAGACAAGAGTCATGAAATTGTCAAGGAGAGACATCAGTGAAAAGAAAGTGACACAGAGCTTCAAACATGATCCTCAGAATCCAAGGCAAGGGGAAAGTTTGCAAAATCAGTTAGAATATCATTTCAGACCTCCTTAAATTATAAAGATCTAGTGGCAATCTGGAAAATGTACATTAATAAAAATAGAAAACTGTGAGTGTGAGTAAAAGCAGCTAACGTTATAACCTTTCAGCTATATTCATGTGCTGTGGGAGCTCCTTCTGCTCCTTCAGCCAATAGCCTTTAAGATACCAGTCCACTTGGGCATGATCTCTTATACTATAAATGCAGCTGTAAAACATGCACTTGCTCTCTTGCTTCCAACTCTCACTTCCGGCTGCTAGACTCTGTTCCTGTTCCCTGTTTGTACAGAGGACTGTTATCAAGGACAGTGATCTGTAAGTCTCTCCTAAATAAGTAACCCTTTATTATTCATAATTCTGAACTAGTGTGGGATTATTTTGTGACTTCTGCCATCTCTGGCACCTGAACGTGGGGACCAGTCCACACTTTTTGGGATCAGTCTGCCAGCCTCATGGCGTGTTGGGCATTGACTCTCCTGCCCATGACTTCAGCCGGCCCCCAGATGCAGCAGGCTGCTCAGTGCTCCCCAGCTTGTGACCCACATGCCAGCCCGCACACTGCTGCCTGTGATCCCCACAGTGCACACAGTCTGCAACTTCCACTGATGGAAAACTTTGGGTTTCCTCTTTATCCTGGGCCCCAACTCTTGGAATCATTTGATCGCCTTAGTAACTGTTGTAATTTGTTAAACAAAGCATATTTTTCAGTACCTAAATAAGCAACACCTGCTGTTCAATGCTGCTAGCATCTCTCGGCCACGTGGCTGCAACTGCGACACCTGCTGGCCGATAACGATTATTACACCTACTCCAATTCATTGTAATTGCCTTACGACAGGTAAGATCTGAAAAATTACAAAAAATGACCGATAACATCCAAGAGTTCAATAACCATTTTGTATATATTATGGAAGGTATTGTGCAAGACTTATGCTATTTTCCTTTCTATTATTAGATTCTAGAAATTAGCTTTGTTTTCAATATTATCTCATTAAAAATGGTTCAATACTATGGAAAGAGAGGAAATTGAAAGAATTTATGCTGTTGAATCTGTCAGACAGGAATTTATTGAAATTGATGAGCAAGGACAGAAGGTACAATGACAGAAGTTAGCCTCATCAGAATGTGCCAGACCCCTGGCATATCTGGTAATTTCCATAGAAAGACTATCTGACACAAAGTACCCTAAGGTAGTCAAAGAATATGCATGGGAACCAATACATATGAGTGATGTAAAAGAAATAAAAACAAGCAATAGTTTTTTATGGGGTACATTCACCTTTGTCAGGGAAATTGTGAAAATGTGGGCTTCAAGCACTAAGGCCACCCCACACGATTAGCTTCAATTAATCTCAGCAGTCCTAGAAAATGAACCTCATCTGCTTTGGAAGTGTTATTGGAGAAAAGAGGCAAAATTTTTAGAACAACGGGGGGAAGCAAAAGGATTTGAGACTTCCCAAGATCAAATTCTTGGCAAGGGTCATTACTCTGATCCTCAGGGACAGGCTCGCCATGACGAATGTACCTCCTCCATATGTAGTACAGCAGCTTTAAATGCTTGGGACAGGATTCAGGAACCAGGAAAGAGGATTAGGTCTATATTAGGGTTAAACAAGGACAGAGAGAACCCTTTACTGACTTCTTACAAAGATTGATTAAAGCTGTACAATTAGGAGTGACAGAACCTGAAGTTAGATGTGCACTAATTGAATCCTTGACTTCTGAAAATGTCAACTTAGAATGTAGAAATATCCTTAGACCTTTAAAGGCTAGATCAGCACCCAGAGATGAATGGATCTTGCATACAATGAATGTTGAAACATTTGACTATAGTACTGAAACTTGGGTAGGAGAAGTGATTTCCAATGGTATGAGGAGACACCAAAATAAAAATGTTTTAGTTGTGGTAGAATAGGACATCTAAGAAGGGATTGTAGACAAGGAATTCCTAGGAATAATATCTCCTCTAGGAATGGCAAAAATAGGAGGACTTAGTCTTCTGGTAGGAGGTATGGGAAAGGTTGACATTGGACTAATGAATGTAGGTCAACAAGAGACAGACAAGGCAACCCGGCACCACTGGGAAACTCCATTGGGGGGCCTCTCACAGGCCCTGATGTCAAACAAGGCCCAGTCATTCCCAGTCACTGTGGAGAACATGTCTCACCAGGAATATTAAACAATCCAGTGCCTACTGTAAAAAACCATACTGTTTTGGATGATGGAATAGACCTGAAGGATGAGTCAAAAACTCCAGTAAGAAATAGAAAACGTATATTTTGTCAGACTTCTATAAATGATCAAAGACCAAAGCTAAGAGTGTGTATAAATGACATTGTAATTGAGGGATTACTAGACACAGGTGCGGATGTGACTATCATTACTCCAGAATCTTGGCATCCAGACTGGCCTCTTCAAGAGGCAGATATTTAATTCCAAGGAATTGGAACCCTATTTAAGTAAAATAAAGCACGAGGTGGGTTGAATGCATAGGGCCAGAAAGACAGAAAGGAAGGCTGAGGCCATATGTAACTAATATTGTAGTGAATTATGGGGCCATGACCTATTGCAATAATGGAATACCCAGGTTAACATTCCTGCTATCCTCAAAACTCATGTTTCTGGAAAGGATATTATAAGATATTATAAATGAGAATCACCATAGGCTGTACAAGAACACAAAGCAACTACCAAACCCTCAGAGGTACTAACAGCCTTGCCTTTAAAATGGTTAACTGAGAAACCCATATGGATTAAACAATGGTCTTTAACAGAAGACAAACTGCAAACTTTAGAACAGCTGGTACAAGAGCAATTAGATGCTCACCATATTGAAGAATCAACCAGTCCTTGGAATTCTCCTGTATTTGTTGTTAAAAATAAATCTGGAAAATGAAGAATGGTGACAGATCCAAGAGCTGTCAACAAGGCTATCCAACCTATGGGCCCTCTACAGTCTAAATTTCCTCTTCCTTCTCTATTACTAAAAGGATGGCCTCTTATTGATTTAAAGGATTGTTTCTTCACTATACCTTTACAAGAAAAGGATCCAGAAAATTTTGATTTCACAGTGCCTACTTATAATAATTATCAGCCTACTTGGAGATACCAGAGGACCATCCTCCCACAGGGAATGCTCAATAATCCTACCCTGTACCAATACTTTGTAAATCAGCCACTGGAAATAATACGCAAGCAATTTCCTAAGTCTATAATTTACTGTTATATGGATGGCATTTTGTTATCTGACTCAAATGCAGATACTTTAGAAAGAATATTTGAAGACGTAAAAAAGTTTTGCCTAAATGGGGATTACAAATTGCTCCTGAAAAATATAAAGAGGAGATTCTGTCAATTACCTGGGTTACAAAATAGATTTACAAAAAATTAGAATACAAAAGGCACAAATTAGGAGAGACCTATTACAGACTCTTAATGACTTTCAAAGATCGTTAGGAGATATTTCCAGTCAGTGACTGGCTGTTGGGATAACACCTGACCTAATAGTTCATTTAAATAAAACATTAGATGGTGACAAAGACTTAAATGGTCCCAAAGAATTAACAGCTGAAGCGAAAAAAGAATTGATGATTGTTGAAGACAAATTACAGGAGGCACATGTAGGCAGAGTGAATCCAATCTTAATTATATTCTAGTCATGTTGCCTTCCAGAATTTCCCCTACAAGAATTTCAATGAAAAGGGAAGACATTATCTTAGAATGAATCTTTTTACCACATAAACCAAGTTAAAAATTAAAAGCTTATGTGGAAAATTCTCTGAATTAATTATAAAAGGAAAATTGAGACTTTGTCAACTAGCAGGTATAGACCCAGCAGAGATTATAGTTCCTTTTACTGTTGATGAAATTAAAAAATATATGGGAAGACAATGAACCTTGTGCTAATTTTTTTGGAAAAATTAATAGCAATTATCCCAAAAGTGAAAGAATTAACCTTATAAAGAGAACTTCTTGGATTCTTCCCTTAATTGTACGTGATGCTCCAATAACTAGAGCCATACATTTTATACAGATGCAAATAGATCAAGAAAGGCAGGTTTACAAATCAGAAGGATAAGTAAGGTGGAACAAAGTGGCAGAATTATATGATATTCTCATGGTACTAAGGGATTTTAAAGAACTTCTTAATATCGTTACTGATTCGCAATATGCAGAAAGAGTTGTCTTGCATATTGAAACTGCTGAATTTATACCAGATGATACAGAATTGACTTCACTATTCATACATGTTCAAGATATAATCAGGAATAGGCTTTTTCCCATATACATAACACACATCTGATCCCATATAGGTCTGCCAGGTCCTCTAGCACAAGATAATGCAGAAATTGATCAATTACTGATTGGAAGTGTGCTGAAGGCCTCAGAATTTCATAAGAAATGTCATGTCAATAGCAAAGGTTTAAAGAAAGAGTTTTCTATTACATGATAACAAGCTAAGGATATTATAAAGAGATGTCCTACTTGCTCTTTCTATAACCAAACATTACCAGCAGGGAGTAACCCAAAGGGTACTCAAAGGAATAAAATCTGACATATGGATGTGTTCCACTTTACAGAATTTGTAAAAATATGTAC